CCTCGGAGCCCGGCGACCCCGAGCAGATCGCCCCGGGGCGGCGTCTCCGGCTGGGGCCCCGCGACAAGCCCCCGAGGAAAGGGCTCGCGCGGACACAGACTGGGCATGGCCGGCGCGGGCGGCGCGCCACCAGACGCAGCTCGCACAGGCCAACGGGCGGCAATGGAAGCACCGTCGTGCACCTCGCAGCCGGCGACGCTCCAACCCTGATGTCGCCCCGAAGAGGTCGATCGCCCTCCAGGCACCCCTGGTCGAGACACACGCGCCCTGGGCCGCGGCGGGAAGAGCGCCGCCAAGGTCCCCCGACCATGCCGACTCCCAGGACCGAGGCGCGGCGCCCCAATCTCCGCCGAACGCGAACGGCCGCCCTCGCCGCCGACAAGCATCTCGCCACGCCCGGCAACGACGCGCCCCCCTTCCCCCCCCCCCAGAGCGCCCCGCCGGGGGAAGCGCCGGCCGGCCCGGGGCATTCCCCAAGGCACGCAGGCGTCGACCCGCCTGATTCGCACGCGACGCGGGGGGGGAGTGCCGCGGAGGCGGCGGGCGAGCTCACGACAACAAGCCGTCGCACCCACGCACTCCAGACCCCGCTGACAATCCCCCCGTTTCCGTCACCTCCGAGGCCAGACAGAATGCACAAGTCCCACGCGTCTTCCGAAGCTCATCTTAGCAAGTTCGAACGTCTCCTGGGTCGACCGCGACCTCCTGGAACACGACCACTCGGGCAGACGTCTCACTCAAGATAACATGCGAGCGGCCCCCAACTCGTCAGATCTCTACGCAGAGAGCAGCCCCCCTCTCCGGGGCTCAAAACTGGCCGACCACCCAGGGATATCCCCACAGCCGCGCAGCCCCCCGAGCCATCGCAAGAAAATGCTCGCGGCAGCGTCCGCCGCGGCAGCGCCTCCAGCACCGCCGTCGCCCGCGCGCGACTTGGCCCGCCTCGTCGGACCTGCTTCCGCCGGCCAACCTCACGGGGCCCTTTGGAGCTCACGAAGCGCGATGAGCCCCCAAGGCCCTCGCCTGTGTTTCCGGAAGCTGGCGCCGTCGCCCGGTCCGAGACGTGGCGCCAGCATCTCTAGCAGACCACGTCGCGCTCATTTGGACCCAGGATCTCGTCGAAGAAGACCGAATCCAGCGGCGACCTGCTGGAAGCCCAGCCACGGCCTCCAACCTGATGCAGCCTGGCCACCCTGCGCTTCTTCGCATACACGATGAGGTACCTACTTGCCTCCTCCAGGCCCACATCCTTGGCGGGGGCCGATGCACCCCGCCCCCGACCGGGCCTTTCCCCCAGTTGCCGCCGTCGCTGTTGAGCGGCGGCCCCAGCCTTTCTACGACGCTGTCCTCCGCGGGACTGGTGATCTTCGCGGCGATCCCCGCGCGGGGTCGACCTCCTCTTCTTCGCCCTCGAAAGCGGCATCCCGCGTCGCCATCGCAAGCACCGGCAACGACCCCCCCGTCCCCCTGTCGCTTCTAGGGGCCGCGGGCGCCCATCCAGCGCCTCGGCGGAGGCCTTCGCGGGTCCTGGCCGCGACGCTCGTCGCCTCGCGTTCGGCGAAGTTCTTCCGCAATGTCGGCCTGTTCGCCATGTCTGGGCGGCCGCTGCCTCGCCCTGTTCCCCGATGGCCAACCCCCGAGCTCAATGCCGCCACTGCGAACTGCGGCTGGAGCGGGGAGACGACGGCGCGGCACGACCTCGCGCAGGCGCCCGCGCCTCCTGGCGACCGCTTGCCCAGGTAGTCGCGCAAGCTTTTCGGAATCCCCATCGCCGCCAAGGCCGATGGGGCCTCGCACTGCGGCAAGAAGTAGCCCCTCTCGAACTCCGCGATATCCTGCCACAGGTGGAAGCCTATCTCTATCCACGGCTGGCCCCGCATGTAGCATTCTCGGGATACCACCAACGGCAGTTTCGGCATCTCGCTCCCTGCACCGCTGGCATTTGCACATACCAGCGCGGTCGTTAGACCACCGCCTACAAAGGCGAGGCGCCGAGGTGGGGACCAGCAGTTGTCGTCGCAGCGCAGCACCGCCTAAATCTTGACGAGGCGAAGCCACGACACCCCGCGCAGATACTTCGCGAGGCCATCGTCCGCCACCAGCGGCTCCAGGGCCCCGATGTTGAACGCGCTGGCGAATCGAGCCGCCCTCATCGCCGGACACTTGCCATCGCCGAGGAGCATATCCGTGTTCGCAACGACCTATTGGACCTCCCGCCGAGCGGAGAGCATTGGACCTCCCGCCGAGCGGAGAGCCTAGCGTTCGGGTCGCGCCCGCCGCGCGATCGGTCCAGGCAAGGGCGCCGATGGCCTGGTTGGGCACCGTCGGCCCAGAAGGCTCGGCAGCCCTGGCGCGCACTTAGCGGATGAATGTTACTGTTACCACCGTCTTTGGCCACGGGCCGCTGTGCGGACGCAGGGGCCATCGGCGCAGCGCCTCGCCCGCGCGCACGTACGACCTCACCGCGTTGAGGCGTGCGCACGGCCCGCTATGTTATCCAGCGCCGGCCCCGGGCCCATGCAGGACCGCACCACCTCCAGCGAGGGCGACTCCATCTCGCCGAACAGCCGGAACAGGCGAGGCCTCCGGCGAGCCCACTTTCGGGCCTCCAACCCACGACGACGCTCACCCGGCAGCGGCGCGGCCTTTCAGTGCGTATCGGGCCCCTGCTCCCGCGCGGGCCCCTGGCGGGGGAACGGCCTCCGCCGTTCCTGATCACACCCGGCCAAGAGGCTCATCACGGCGCTTTCCAACAAAACTTGCTCGGAACGGCCGTGGAGCACACGTAGCCGCTTCTGCAACACTTCCTCGCCCACCGCCTGGTCGAAGACCTCCTGCGGCGAGAGTCGCGCCTCCTCCACGCAAAGGTCCGCGGCCGCTGCCACTTGCACGAGCGCCTCCTCAAACTCATGCTCGCCCGCCTGCAGCGCCAGGCGCGGACCGAGGAACCCATAACCATGCTGTACCTTGCTAACCCGCCGCCGCGCGGCGTCGAAGGCGCACGGCCCAGGGGCCAGCATCTGCGCCCAAACGTTGTTCAAAAAAGGCCGATCGCCTGAGCCGAAATGGCCAAAGATGTCGGACAGAGAGGAGGACACACTTACGTGTTGGTACACGGGGCTTGTCACCATCGTCATCATCAGCACCATAATCAGCACCGTCATCATCACCATCAGCAGCAGCAGCCATCATCAGCATCGATATCATCATCATCAGCATCATCATCAGCATAATCATCACCAGCAGCATTATCATCATCATCACCATCGTCGTCGTCATCATCATCATCATCATCACCATCAGCATCATCATCATCATCATCATCATCATCATCAGCAGTATCATCAGCATGCGAATCGTCATCACCATAATCAACCACATAATAATCATCACCACCATCATCAGCAGCATCGTCATCATCATCATCATGTGCATCATCTTCCTCCTCCTTATCATCAACACCTGTCGCATTATCATCATCATCATCATCATCATCATCATGAGCATCATGAGCATCATCACCATCATTATCATCATCAACACAATCAGCATCATCATCATCATCATCATCAGCAGCAGCAGCATCATCAGCAGCAACATTCCCATCGCCATCATTATCGCCGTGATCGTCATCGTCATCGTCACCGTCATCATCATCATCATCATCTTCATCATCAGCATCATCATGATCATCGTCGTCATTGTCGTCATCGTCATCACCATCATCATCAACAACATCATCATCGTCATCACGGCTGTTCCAATCCAGGAGACACGAGTGCCATAGGCAACGGCATTCCGTGCCCCCCATCGAACCGTCACCACCCAGAATGCTGGGCTGGAATGGTGGCGGGACTCGCCACAGGCAGCTGGGTATGTGCACCACTATCATCAGCAGCACAGCAGCAGCAGCATCGTCACCATCGTCATCATCAGCACCATCATCACCATCGTCGCACCTCAGGGTCATCCTCATCACCCCCATAACAATCACCAGACAGCATCAGCAGCAGCAACATCGTCATCATCAGCATCATCAACAGTATAACCATCGTCGTCGTCATCAGCATCATCATCGTCTTCAGCATCAGCATCCTCGCAATCAGCAGCAGCATCATAATCGGCATCAGCATCAGCATCACCATCACCTGCATCAACAGTATCATCAGCATCATCATCAGCATCATTATGGTCATAATCATGATGACCATCAACCTCAAGGTCACCATCATCAGCATCAGCAGCAGCATCATCAGCACTCTCAACATTATCATCGTCGTCGGTGTCGTGGTCGTTGGATTCGTCCGTGTGGTTGTCATCGTCATCGTCGCCTTCATCATCGCCATCACCATCACCACCAACACCATCATCATTGCTAGCATTATGAGCCGCATCATCATGAGAATCACCATTACCATTATCATCCTCATCCTGATCATCAACGTCACAATCATCATAATCAATATCATCACCGTCATCAACAACATGATCAGCATCATCGTAAGCATCATCATCATCATCATAATCACCATCACCATACGCATCATCATCATTATCATCATCATAGTCGTCGTTATCGTCATCCGGATTTCCCCTCCTCCTCCTACCCCTACCATTATCCCCATCTTCCTCCTCCTTCTCCTCCTTCCTTGCACCGTCCTACTCGTATCCCTCATCCTCCTCAGACTGCTACACCCCATCCTCAACCTCACCATTGTCTTTCTACTCCTTCCCTTCCGCATAATCATCCACATCCTCCTGTTGCTGCTGCTTCTCCTCCTGGTCGACATCACGTGGATACCTCCTTCTATCCTGTTGTTCAAATCGAATTTCCAAGCGCCGTCGTAAGCAGATGTCCGAGCCAAGTTTGTTGGCCACAGCGAAGGGTGATCCCCTCAGCGACGACAGTAATTGAAATGCGCGCGTAGTGAAATGAAGAGTGGTGCTGGGCGCATTCTGTCGCCCACTGCCCCTGGCTACCCTGCCTCCGACCCATCCACCTGCCATGAAGGGGCTAGAGGTGCCCATGTAGTCGCTCTCCCACGTGGAGTCTCTGCAATACTTTCCGATCATGGCTATCTTCTTGCCCTTCGCCTCGATGGGCAACGTGTGGTCTTCGTTCTTAACGAGGACAGCACTGTCAATGATCGTCTGCTTCGCAACCTCGCGATGCTCGTCGCTCGTGACGTCGTCAAACGAGACCCGGTCCAACACCTCGCCCTCAAACTTCCCATCGAACTGCCCAGCGAAGTACATCGACGCCAGGACGTGGCCTGCCATCGCGTCGATAGTTTCCTCCGAGACCTCGCCCGAACCAACGAGCCCTCCGAGCTCGGCGAAGTTGGCGTCGGTGGGCATCTCGATATCGAGACCGCCATTGGCCGAGGCTTTGGCGTCGTGGGTCGCCTCCCAGTCCGACATGAGAAGGCCGCGGAAGCCAAGGTCGTCCCTGCGAGGTGAAAAATACGTCGCAAAGTATACGTAGCACCCCGCAGATGCGGATAAGTATGAGGGGGCGGTGGGGAGGTCGGCAGTCTGCGAGACTATGGAGAAGCCCGCCGCAGGCGCCAAAGCTTCACAAATTATTCAACGAGCCCGCCGAAGGCACCGAGTCTTTCTTTCAAACCAATGTGGGTAGTTCGCGGGTGGGTCGCGGGTGGGTCGCGGGGTGGGTCGCGGGGTGGGTCGCGGGGGGTCGCGGGGGGGTTGCGGGTGGGTCGCGGGTTGGGTTGCGGGTGGGTCGCGGGGTGGATCGCGGGGTGGGTCGCGGGGTGGATCACGGGGTGGGTCGCGAGGTGGGTCGCCGGTGGGTCGCGGGGGGGGACGACAACAACAAACAACAACGCAACAATCAGAATCCTCACCACGAATCCCCACTTCAGCCACGCACCCAGGGACAATGAATGAACGACCGTTCGGCCCCCTCACTCTGATCAACGGCGTGGGACGTATTTCCCTGTTGCCACTTATGACTGTTGCCGTTATTTGGATAACGCTATCTCAACACATCGTGATTAGTTTTGTCGCATACATATATGCATACATATATATATATATGCATAGTATATATATACATATATATATATATATATATATATATATATGCAATGTGTATATGTATATAAATAGAAAGAGACAGAGACAGAGAGAGCACCCCGCAGTGGCGGATAAGAGTGAGGGGGCGGCGGGGTCGTCGGCAGCCTGCGAGGCTCTGAAGAAGCCCGCCGCAAGCGCCGACTTGTAGACATGTTTCTTGTGAGGGGGAAGAGCGGAGCGGACACCGAACAATCCGCTGCCCCTCGCGGGGGCGATCACCGTACCCAGCAGCGAGCCGTTGCAACACACACACACACACACACACACACACACACACGCAGAGCAGCGACTATGATCAATATTGGCCGGCCGGGGGAACGTCACCACCTACCGGGGGGAGGAGGGGAAGGGGGAGGAGGAGGAAAGAGGAGGAGGAGGATGAGGAGGAGGAGGGGGAAGAGGAAACCACAGCACCTGGAGCAGCGATCAGGCCAACCTGCGATAGGCGAGCCGTTGCGCGCAACCGAGGAATCGGGACCCTGGCAAAATTGCATTCTTGTACAACTATCTGAGTCCGAGCTCCGTGACTGACCACACTTTACATCCGGCCACGTACTCAAGGAGAGACGGGGGAGGAGGAAGAGGGAGAAGGACCAAGAGGAGGAGGGAAAAGGAGAGTGGCGAACTACACCAGGCCTCAAATTGAGGATAGGCCGGTACATCCCAAACTGACATGCTGCCTGCTGCTGACGCCGGCTGGGGCGGACAAATCCTGCCCCCCATGCGGAAATACAGGCGCTGCCTACTGGGAAGGGGGGAAGAGGAAGAGGAGGAGGACGAAGCCTGAACACGGCACCAATCAGGAATAACTAGGACAATCTATCCAACCCTTCACCAGCCGAAAAGGAGCCCAAAGGCATTGAACGGAGAGCCTGGATGGCCACGCCCCCATGCGAAGTGAGCATGGCCACGACGCGAGACCGAAAGGTAGCTGTAGAAATGACAGCAGCCGAGCGACGAACCACAAGAGAAGGGGAGGAGAAGGAAGACGCCAGAGGGGCACGATGCGCCCAGGCGCCCGGCCGTCTGCACCGGGACCTGGCGAGCAGCCCGTGGAGAGGCTCGTGGGCGCAAGCCTCCCGCACGGCGGCCTTGACAAGATGCCCCGCGCCGAGCTCACGCACGGCTGTGTGCCGCACGGCGAGGCTAGGGCTCCCAACTTCGCGCTTCGCGCTGCGCGAAGCGCGAATAACTTCGCGCTCTCGCGCCGCCCTCCCAAAGGGAGAATAGGAGGACGAGGAGGAGGAGGAGAAGGAACGAGGACCGCGAAGCGCGAAGCGCGAATAACTTCGCGCCCTCGAGGGAGCCCTTGGCGAGGTGTGTCCGGTAGAGGGCGCACGTGCAAACAGCTCTTAGCCGGCGCATGTCCAGGGGGCCACATGCGAACCCTACCCCTACCCCCCACGACTTCTGAGGGGGAGGGTGGGGTTCACTTCGCTCGGAGGCTCCCGAACGAAGTGAACCCCACCCTCCCCCTCAGAAATCGTGGAGGGTAGGGGTAGGGTTCGCATGTGGCCCCACAATGTCGTCGCTCACCGGCACGTGCAAGCCGAGAACGCTTGCTAGGCGCGCCTGCTCAGGCGGTGGTTCGAGGGCACACGCCTCCTTCCACCAGCGATGATACAGGCCACAATGTGCGTAGTGCCGGATGCAGTCGAAGCCTCCACCGCAGCCGAGCGCACAACGAGACCGATGTTGAAAGCGCGCCGTGGTGAGCCAGCCATTGCAAACTGTGCGCAACGCCGCTGCCATGATGCATAGCGGGCAACTCTGACCGAGAAGGGCCAAATGAGTGGAAAAGCGTTGCACCTGGTGGCATGGCGCCAGGCCCACATTCCAATTGTCAAGCCGCCTCCGAAAGAATGCGTCGACCTTGGTTGGCGGACGAACCGGCTGGCTTGCCAGCCCGCCTTGAGGGAGAGCTGGTCCTCATGCGGGATCTCTTGTGTTCGACGCTGGCCGCGTTGCAGCACCTCCCCGGGAATGCGGTCTGCGGAGGCCTCCAAAACAAATTCGCCGGCCCAACGGGCCAGGGCGTGCTAAGATCTCCGGTACCTGGTTAACAGTATTTCTAGTTCGCGCGCGCGGGGCGGCCCCTGGGGGTCCCCGGACGAAAAGTACCCCGGCAAGCTCCCGGCAAGGTCGGGCCAGAGATGCCGGAGCCCTGTTACAGGGCCCCAGGACGGGCCAAGAGGTCCCCAAGAAGCCTCCAAGACGGTCCAAGAGGGCCCCGAGACGGCCAAAGATCGCCCGAAGACGCCCAACAGGGCCCCAAGACAGCCCAAGAGGCCTCCAAGACGCCCCAAGGGCCTTCCAAGAGGCCTCCGAAGAGGGCCCCAAGAGGCCAAAATCGTTGATTTTCATTGTTTTTTTATGTTTTTTGCGTTCTGGCTTTTTCGGCTTCCGGACGCTCCAAGACGGCCCAAGAGGCCCCCAAGACCGCTCCAAGACGGCCCACGAGGCTCCCAAGACGGCCCCGGAACGGCCCAGGAGGGCCCCCAAGACGGCCCAAGTGCCGCCCAAGACGGACCAAGAGGCCCCAAGACGGGCCCAAGAGGGGCTCAAGAGGGGAACCGAGAACTGAAAAATCTAGCCCTCCGCCCCAGAAGGCGCCCAGGAGGCCCCAAAAAGGCCCCAAGAGGCCCCCAAGAGGCCCCCAAGACGCCCCAAGAGGCGCCCAAGAGGCCCAAAAGAGGCCCCAAAAGGCCCCAAAACGGCCCCCAAGAGGCCCCAAAACTCGGCTAGCCCACAACGGTGCGACAATATGGGCCGGCGGAATGAGCGAAGCGATTAAATAACGTTGCTCGCCAGCCACGCCTCGACAGCCTCAGAGTAGAACTGGCGCCCATCGCTCTAGAGAAGCAGGCGTAGTCTGCATGCTCTCGCACTCACCTGCAGCCCGCCCTGCTTCAACGAGCCTGCCGCATGCGCCGAATTGTTCGTCAAAGCAAATGGGTGGGTGGCGGGTGGGTCGCGGGCCGGGTAGCGGGTGAGTCGCGCGTGAGTCGCAGGCCGGGTGGCGGGTGGGTCGCGGGTGGGTCGTGGGTAGGTCGCGGGCCGGTCGCGGGCCGGGCCGCAGGTGAAACGACGACACCAAACAACAAACAACTAACAACAAGCAACAAGCAACAAGCAACAAACAACCACCACCACCACTACCAACAACAACAACAAAACTATCAGTGTAAGACTGTTCGCTCATATCTGCTCGCCGGCCATTCAACACGTATATCCGAAACCCTCGATACCCGCCCTCTTCGTCTTCGATCCTACCCCATTCTTTCTTACCTGCAACGTGTACTTCGTGCAGCCCCTAAGGCAGGGAAAGAGAAGACGGATGGAAGGAAGGGACAACGGGGAGGGAGGAGCATGGAGCACGAAAGAGAGCAGCAGGAGGGGAGTTAGGAGCAGAAAAAACGTGGCAGAACCATCGGGAGGGTAGAGCCTTAACGTGCGGGTCGGGAGGGTGGGCCCAGGCGGCCAGGTCGAGCAGGCGGGTTGCTGAAGCGTGCGCCCTGCATGAATCGCGAGGAAGTCTCGAGCGACAGCGCCACTCCCAAATAAATCGTCAGGAAATGTATTGCGAGAGCGTGATTCCTGAGTATCGAGCGCGCGGCGTGTGAGTAAATGTCGAGGGAGTCCCACGCGAGAGCGCGATTCCTGTATAAATTCTGAGGACGTCCCCCGCGAGAGCGCAATTTGGGAAAAACTTGTCAGGAAGTAAGGGCGGGATCCGTTGTTGTTGTAGTTCGGGGGCCAACAACACAGCTTAGTGACCCCTTGCTTTCCCTTGTTAAAACAGGGCGCGAGCCCCTGGAGAAGCACTCTAATAGAACACACTTGCCGGAGGGGGGATCAAAGATCAATTGCTCTTTCGGAATGAGAAATCAACACCAACAAGAACAACAACAAACGCAACAATGGCAACAACAACAAAAACGACCACGACAACGACAACGACAACAACCACAACCACAAAACAACATCTACAACAACAAAACAACAACGACGACGACAACAACAACAATCTGCACCACGGAATCCAACTCCAGCCGCGCACCCAGGGACAGTGAATGACCGTGCAACCCCCTCAAATGTATCATTGGCAATAGTTCCCTTTTCTTCTCCTTAAGATTCGTCTTTGTCTCTTATTATTACTAGCACTATTACCTTATCATTAGTAGTATCACTACTACTACTACTACTACTACTACTACTACTACCACCACCACCACCACCACCACCACCACCACCACCACCACCACTACTACTACTACTACTACTACTACTACTACTACTACTACTACTACTACTACTAGCATTGCTATTGTTACTAATGTTCACCCTCCCCGT